ATTTACCATAAATTATTCATAGAGATGAGAGATCAATTTTTTTTCCAGAAATTTCTTGGAGTAGGCTCAAAGAAATGTATTGCCACGATTTAGAATTTGGAATCAATTTGAAGATTGGAAGAATTTTATTGGAATGAAACATAAACAATCAAAAAAACTAAAGACTCGCTCTAAACGAAACCAAGCAAAGCATCGAGTACATCTTCGGTACCTAATAGTACAGTAGTAAACAAAAGCCAAGAAATGGCTTCTCATCATGAAAAGTGAAAACATTTCACATGAGCTTATACCTAGTATAACGACGGTGAAATTAATCTAGCTCCCAATTCTATGGTCGGCGCCACACCCCGGCGAGACGACAAGGGCGACGGCCAGCCACCCCTAGCCGATTCTTTGTCTGAGGACTACCTCTAAATTGTGGTTTCATCTGTAGACTGGAGAATAATGAATGAGAAGACCCGTCTAAACCACTCGAGGTCGACTCATTGTCAAAGTCAAGGACTATCGAAAACGAGTTTCTTGACTTTGCATCTTGTTTTTTACCTCAGAAGATTTAGTACGAAAACTACAAAAGCGCCCTGTGAACGTGTTGCACGAAACTTATTTTGAGAATCAAAATTGTCACATTATCGTTTAATTCGAAGGTTGAGTATCGAATTTTGTCGAATACGCAAACGATTCGAAGACGAAAGCTGTTGTTCATGCTAGAGGTACAGGTTTCTTTCTCTAGATTGGTAGAATTGAGAAATCATTTCGTCGTTTAATTTTGATTTTGTTAATATTTGGAAAACAGAGACGGACCTTGGTTTTGTAGTCAAATTCCAGTTATTCAGTGCCGTAACTAGCCTTTTATGCGCCCGGTGTAGGGGTCGCAAACCGGGATACCGAATTTCGAAAATACCGGAATACCGGGCCAAATTTAGGTCTAATTAATACCGGTATTCATTTCACAAAAACCGGGATTTTCGGTATTTTCGGTTTTAGTAAAATAAATAAGAAACAAATACAAATNGACCCCTAGCCCGGTGCGAGCTTTCAAAACTGCGCCCTTGAAAAATGCTCTAACCAGTCTCTGACAATAAAGTGGACAAATGTGCATAAAAAAATGTAACCTTTTTGAATAAAAAGTAACCTTCTACTGGGGCGTGCGGAGCGATTGTGTAAGGTTGTTCATGGATGGAAAATGAATACAGTTCTGACGCGTCACGTCACGACACATCAGACAAATATAAAACCACCTTTACAAGTGTTGTTGTTTCAAGATCGCTTGAAAAATGCCATAAAGATATAGATAGTACAGAGGGCGCGTCTACACCATATTCGCAATAAAACAAAATGTACCTACTAACTACCATGCATGAAACAAAACTAGATACTGGTCTGGTCATTTCTGCGCCCCTCCAGGGTCTGCGCCCTGTGCCTGGGCACCGCTGGCACCGCCCTAGTTACGGCACTGCAGTTATTGTATAAGTTAATTTGGGATTCAAGGTGATTTTTTGCCGATGTGCGTTAGTTGTTTACAGCCAATGATATTATATAATAATATCATTGTTTACAGCAGAAATATTATTTTGTAAAGCGTAGAAAACAGTAGGTAATAAAGTATGACTTAGTTACATAATCTGTTTCTAATGTATTGAAAATTAAACTGTAAATACTTTTTGACTCTAGAATAATCAATAAGATTGTAGTATTTTTCCACTGCCCGTTGGTTCCAACAGGTGTAGACTCACCGCTACAGACCATTTAGTTAAAACGAAACGGTTTACAAATTACAATGTACAAGTAAACATACCTAATCTGATATCAGCTGGATGACAAAGCTCTTCGAACGAACGACCTTCAGCGATGTCAATACACAACTACACAACGCAAAAAACAGCAAATTGCGCATTACAATTTTAGGTATAGTCGTATTTGGTAGACACGATCAGAACTATTATAGCTCCATTATTTTTTCCGCATTTATTTTATAGCTTTGTGGATTTAGTTTCGATTAATTAGATTTCTTAATGGCTCTAACTAATGTAATCCAATGATCCTAAGATACAACTTATTTAGCTTGATGTCCCTTCGTCTGTAAATATGGTCAGGAAAACTTTTCAGCTCCATATTTAAAAACCTTTCAAGGGTATTTATGCAAATCATGGTAAGTAAGTATAAGAAAGACTCTGTACATTTGAAGTAAGGAGTAGTTTTATGTGTAACCGACATGCGACTAGGCTTTTAATACGCCAGAAGCAAAATGTTACAGTAATAATAACTGAAATATGGAAATATATTCACTGAAAGTATTCAAAAAGGGAAAACTACCGTGCCATGGTAGCAGATCCCAGCACATTAATATAACTTAAGTTTACTACTAACTATACCACTACTGTACAATTAATTACCTACTCTACATTAGGCTAATGTCTAGACTAGAAAAAGAAAAGCAGAAGCTTTTCTGCTGGGAGTTGGAGCCTAAGGCTATGTGGAGTCTGTAATAGAAAAGAAACACAAGATGCAAACGAAGTAGGTACTCGTACTATTCCATGAATCTTGCTTTTCACACATTTGCCCCAGTAGGAACATGAGCCCACAAAACAATACCTAGCTGGCTTTGCGTCAGTCGTCCTCCGTCCTCGATTCAAAATAATGAATGAACATTAATGCCAATTAACGTTATATTCTTGTAATGATTTCCCGTCTCGTTGGATTACCATTTGAATTAAAAGATGATAAGTTGTCTTTGTGTTTGCAATCCAAACGCGGCAACTCCGGATTCGAAGGTCGCCTAAGCGCGCCGTGAGTGGCAAGCCTGACAGACTTATTGTCTAGCATTGAGGAGTATAATTTTATTACTGCCTAATGGTCACGTTGTTTGGGTTCTAAAGTATTAACCGAACTAAACAATGAGCTGTCCAAATCTTGAAACAACATCGTAGATATTCTGACACACTTGTTTCGTGATTCCAATGCAGCGGTTCTTCTGATTGATTACGCTCAATGGCTAGCACCTATTAACACAATGATTAAATGAATACTCTCCCTTTGTGTCCAACTCAATTTACAACTATCTATTAGCTTAATCACTTCAAAAGAAGATAACCGACTTACAAAATGCAGTTCTGCAAGATTTTTGCAATAAATAGGGACAAAGGCGAGACGAAAACACTAAACGTTTTTAGCGGTGATCACCAACTAATTACCTTCAAAACGAAAGCGATTACGTATTGCTTCTTTTGTTAAATAAATACTTTGGATATTAGCGTCAGCAATGGACCATTATTTAGTCAAGGAATATTCTTTCCAATATTCACGTCAGTCACGTTTAGTTTTTGGATCTTAAGCATTTATGGGATGTCAAACAAAGTGGAGCACGATATTTGGTAATTTATAATGTTTCTAAACTTCTCGCAAGTTATAACTACACTAGCACTGGCAGACAACTTGGATAACCATGGGTAACGGACAGTCCATCCCAAAAAAAACATGGTTAAACATGAGAAAACGACGTGTAAGTGGACTATTGCAGTAAAAATGTCCAATGAAGAACTTAGACAAGCAGAAAGCCTATCAGTATGAATTTGACACAGCTATGTTACGGACTTGCCTGCGGAAAATATTAAAGCTTCACATGACATTTAATAACCTTCTGAAATACGTATAGACGCCTTCATCTATATGGATTCATGTTTCCACTTTTACGATGACGCCATACGCCGCGATGGCGCCGCAGCTGAATAAAATAAATGGATGACGACCAGTTAATGTCCATTAACTTGCCTACTTTCTAGAAAGTAAAAGGACGTAGAAGGTCGTAGAGAACTTCCTTGGCTAAGCTTCCGTAACTAAGGTCATGGTTGTTTTAAGTTTGGGCGCAGCACTTTTAACCTTGATGAAGTGGGAGGACCCATGAATTTTAGAATTTGGGTCTGCAGAAGAACAAAATATTTATTTATCACACTTCGTTGACGCTATTAGGTTCGACTGGACCAGAAGGGAAGGAAAATTTTTAACTGGTGGTAAGTTAAATAGAAGTTGTAAAAAGTTTATTATTACGTGCTCTGTGAAAAGTTGATTGATGTTAGCAAGCATGGTGGCTGGCTAGTCTTGGCTGTAGACTGAGCTTTAACATTAGCAGATATAGGTATTGTAATCCAAACATTTTGAAATGAGATGGTAAACCGAAACGTTTCAGACTGGCTTACATTTCACATTAATTTCAGGCGGCGCGAGCGCAAGGCCGCTCGGCTATTTCTGAACGCATGTTGCAACGCAGGAACGAATTACGCGGGTATTTTGACTGATATTCAATTGTGATAACAATCCATACTGGCGTAATTATGAAACTAAAATTATCCAAGGAAGTATACTAGGTCTGTTAGGTTTTATTTATTGTAATTATGTAGGTGGTTGGGCGCAATTTCTTGAATACGTAACTTACTTATCGTTAGTCGTTCTTTCATAGAATTTTAAAATTACAACAAGACCAACTAGAATAGGGAGGCATAATAAATTAAATTCCGTGTCACAATAAATTACACATGTTTCATCTGTGTAGATAATAGACGAGAAATTTTCGATTATTTAAAGTTATCCCGATGCATAGATTAAATCTATGTCCCGATGGAAAGCTGTAGCTAGCTAATTTTGATACAGCGTTAACTTTGCTAATTTATTTTAAATCTTTGAATTTATGTTTCAAATACCTAACTACTGATGAGATAATGATTTAAATTGCGCAAATTTATCACCATGATTGTTCGCACTTCGTAGATAACATGCTGTTGCTTAGAACAAGGAAGTGGTTTGTATGGCGTCATAACACAATCACGACCATACTTAGTACACAAACAGGTTTCATGCCACACTAACTAGCTCTTGGAAAAATAACAGTCTTAAATAACTCGAGCAATTATCAAAATTCAACATAACAGCAAAAACAAACCAATAATTGCATTACACATTTAAATCCAATTTGAAATTGCAGCCTTTGTGTAAAAGAGACCACTTACTTGCAATACGGCTACGTCGATTCAAAATCCAAATTAAAAATATCCTTTTGGCCACTGATTACACATAACAACATCTAGTTCATAATAATCTTTCAAACTGCACGCATAATTTATTGTAAATAAACGACCTTCGAAGCGAAAACAGAGTTTCTAAAACAAAGAATTTTCAACACTTCTCAGCTTCAGACTCTACTTGAACCTAATTGAATAGTTCATTCATAAATTGTTGTCAATAAATTGAAAACAGCTGTTCACATATTTCCAGCTCGTCTTGATAATTTTCCATACGATCAACGATACGCACGCACTGAAATAACAGTGACAACAAAATGTTTACATCAATACGTTGCACAGCACAGCCGCAGTGGCTGTTTCTACGCACACTACTCTGTTCTTGTGTGTTTACAAAAGCAGAATATTGACTGGTGTAGTGGGGATGAAAGAGGTCAATGACGTTGTACAAGTGCTGGCGTGAAAAAGAGACAACCATACCTAACGTCGTCGAGTTAAAAGAAGATGGCAGTACAACAAACGCGGAGTGAATATAAACATGAACCGTATTGGCTGGTTTCATGTGTGGGTGTTGATTAGTCTGTTCTTTACTACCACAAATGAGAACTAAAATACTACGCTAAATACTACGTGCTACGAGCGAGCCAAAATTATTTTTGTGGTTTTCTTTAATGATTTTATTAAGTAAATCCTACATAAGTAGGTATAATAATAATATTGACATAAGTTTTACCTTCCGTTTTATATTGCAGCTGTTTTTAGACTAAAATAATTACTAACACTGTAAGTCTGAAACTAAAAATATTATTTTCTCAGATCAATAGTCATAAAATGCTGTAGTTTAGGCTGAAAAATGTTGAAAACTAAACTTTACAACTAGACGGAGTTATCACCCGCAGACTGCAATTTATTTAGAAAAAATAATTTCTCGTTCTTGTTTTTGAAATTTCGATTTCAATTAGGTATAACTGAATTTAACAATTTCGGATAATTTTTACATTTTGTTAAAATATCATTGACAACAATTTTTCTTGAAGTTTTCAAAATGACGGAAAAGGAAATGAATGACGATTGACGATTGATAGAAATTGCATTAATTTAATAAAAATAGATAGTCGGTTGTATAGACCTGGCATTATTTGGTCGCCTGCACGCTGCGTCATATATTATAACGTTAAAATCACAGATATGGATAGATGCAGCATGTGTCAAAAATTGTATGAAGCCACAGATATGGATTAGAGTAGATACAGCAAGTTGCTAGTCAAAGCGTGCCATTCCGATATGTCCAAATGGACATACATGGTCGAGTGATGTTCATGTAATCCGATTACAACAATCGGATACGATGATTTTACGAGGACAGTAGTACGAACACGGTAGAGAGAAGAAATTAAATACGGATTGAGAATTGTAATTAACAGCAACGAGTAACAAATATGTAATTAATTAGAATAAAGTAGCAGAAGAAGAATTATAAAACAAGTTAGATCAGTGATCGCGGAAGACAGAGTGCACTGTATAACGTCGAAATATACAAATCAAGAAGTTAGGTCAGTGATCGCAGTATACACTATTACTACTATGTATACGACGCCCGAGATTTTGTCGTTTAGAAATATCTTCAAAACTAGGTACCTGACTTAGCTTTATGAAAAAAAACGTATCGTAAACTACGCATTTTTACATTTATTAAAAATAAAAAGCTTGAGTAAAATAGACTTTATTTTATGAAAGTAGGTCATTTACTTACTAGGATATTTAAAAGTATGGAATTAAGTATGAATTACTAGTAGTACTATTTAACATAATGGAATAACGATAATTACTTTCATAAACATAAGGCACAACAAAAATATTATTTGCAAATTAATAATGTAGAATTGTAGAATAACGTCTACCGCTACATAATTATTTTAATCCACAGTCAGACTAGCTATAAATTTAACAAAATATCAGTTTTATTGGAATTAATTAATTTTTGAATCGAGTCACACGATATCATTCGATGACTTTGCGAATGCAGTACGATGATACGATTACTTTTACGTTGCGGCAATCACTAAAATTCGCTAAAATGACACTAATGACGTTTAAAAAGTGGCACGCTCGGCTTCATACAGATTTTGACACATGCTGCATCTATCTTTATCTGTGTATGAAGCCGAGCGTGCCACTTTTTAAACGTCATTAGTGTCATTTTAGCGAATTTTAGTGATTGCCGCAACGTAAAAGTAATCGTATCATGCATTCGCAAAGTCATCGAAAGATATCGTGTGACTCGATTCGAACATTAATTAATTCCGATAAAACTGATATTACTATGATATACTAACTGTGGATTAAAATAAATTCTAGGTATATTATTAATTTGCAAATATTTTTATTGTGCGTATATCAAAGTATTGATCGTTATTCCATTATTGTGTTAAATAGTACTACTCGTAATTCATACTTAATTTCATACTTTTTAATATCCTAGTACCTGACCTAGTTTCATTAAATAAAGACTAACTCAAGCTTTTTATTTTTAATAAATGTAAAAATGCGTAGTTTTGCCAATAGGTTTAGTTTCATAAAGCTAAGTCAGGTACCTAGTTTTGAAGATATTTCTAAATGATTTTCTGTGGGCGGTTGATCAAACTGATGTTTTTTTTAAAGGAATTAAAAATATTGCTATTAATAAAATAATGCAAAACCTTATTGATAATGTGACATTTGGTTAGTGAAGGATTGGTGTTAAAATTTTGTGATTTTATCATTATTTCTCTGATAACTAATTCCGATATTTTTTATTTCCTGTATTAGAAAACAATGCTACTTTATACTTCTTCTACTGCTACTTTATTCTAATTTAATTATTTGTTACTTGTGCTGTTAATGAGGATCATTTCGATTTTTAGCTGTGAATGCAGATTTATAGGGCTAAGAAATCCTTAATACACAGTCCAAAAATTTTTGTTCTACGACAAAAATTGACGAAGTTATGGCCAAATTACTAAAAAAGTTCACTGACCGCCCGGCGCGGGGACGATGACGTCATTATATCCGATCCGAACGCTGCCGGCGTACTGCGTGGATAGAAAATATTTTTTTCNTGTCAGACAGACGCTGCAGACCTAGACCATATGATTCTACAATGTCCAGCCTTTAAAATGGAGAGGCTACTGCTAGTGGGTGGCTTACTAAAGATATACCAAGATGGAAATATTCCCCGCCTCTTGCCATCCTTACTAGCGAACGAAAATTCATATCTCAATATTTATCAGTACATTACTAGTACATCAATAGAACTATGAAGACCACAATGAAGACTTAGAAAGAACGAAATAGACACAAACGCACAGAAGAACATAGAAACAAACACTGAGATGTTTTACCAAACTGTGCAATACAAGAAAGAATTGGCCGTATGGATGGATATATATCCAAAGCCGTAAAACCTATATGGAAAAAAAAAAAAAAATAAGATTGTCACTGATGTCAATATGACAGCTGATGACAGCTAGGAATTTGTAATTTTACGATGTTGATTTTGATTTATTTGATAACAAAATTAAGTTTCAGCGACAAGAATTGATAAGGCAGTGTATCTGTTCCAACGTTGGCATCAAGTCATATTGTTCGGCACTTCTTTTTATCAGGTAGCATTTTATTTTATCTTTGTAACCTTTACTTGTAACCAAACTATTAACAGCTGTAGACTTGTGATAAGAAGACACTTTTACTTTAATCTAACACTCTAATGAACTAATAATACTACTTGTGGATTATTAACGACATCACACATGTTTGTTGTTAACACGTAGGCTGCCATGACAGTCACCGGTGACTGACAAACATGCAACCTATTCGGGCCATGTCAGTCACTGGAGCCTGACACTGAAGCATCTAAATCAAACGACCGCAGTAGGCCGCCTGGCACGTTTAATGCGTTACTTCCTATTTTAAATGACTGACGTGGCCCCCAACAAAGTATGTTCAGCATGGCCTGCAACTCTTGTACCTAAATAAAAATTAACACAGGTTTGAATGAAAATTTTAGTAAAAACACGACAAATATTTGAAATTCTTAATAAAATCACAAGTTTACGATATATTTCGGAATAAATTATTAAGCATAATTATTAAAATTATTATTTGTGTAAAAAATTGAAACATTACAGACAAAAATTAGGCTGATTAGGGCTTTGAAGAGAGTAAGTTATAACTTGCTGTCTTTCTCGACTTTACACGACCGAAATTTGACAGTTGACCGACAGCAGCCGGACAGAGCGATAGTATTCACGAGGGCTAAAGCGAGGAAAGCGATGCGACACGGTAGTTCCCGCCAAAACGCAGAAACGTGATTTTGTTGTGCCTGACAAAATGCTTGACATGGCGCTGTGACTGAAATTTATACCATTCGGGCCGCGTCAGGCACGGGTGGCTGACAGTTTCTTTTATGGGTATAATATGTCAATATAAATAGTAAAAAAATATTTTTTAACAATAACTATTCATTTCAAGCCATTACACATCGATTAGCAAAAAATTCAATTTTGGCGAATTAGTAAATTTACTTTGGCAGTCAACGTGTTAAATTTTCTCTGACCGTTTTTCTTTCTTAATAAAGCATTGGTTAAAAATTAGTTATACTTTATGTACATAAACATTTTATACTGCAGCTTATCACCATAATACTCTTATAATTTCTTGTAGTTACTTATTGAAACTCGCATACCATGGCATGGTGTCTGCAAAGACAGACAGTATGTTCTAAAATTAAAAGTAAAATGAGCCTAAACCATCTAGAAAATCTAGATCAATTAATAAGTGGAGATATGGGGGCACTGGAGTGTATACCTACTTGGTTTGTCATTTTTTCGAACCCTCATTGCTGGCTTGGATTATACCTACCAGATAAAAATTTTACAAAAAAAAAGATACCTAAACAAAATTCTCAGGATATGATGTCAATAGTGAATTTATTAAAAATATAAAGTTTCAATTGCATAGCCCTTATAAGTACTTAAGATTTTTTGATATCTGCAAAACTCCAATTTTGTCCCTCACTGATGATTTTCAAAATTCATAGAGTACTTCCTGAAGTTCTATAAAACTCAAATTTTGTATGTAAGCTAGTATTAGTATACAAACAACAAAAAAATTCTAAAACTTGGAACTTTAACCCCCTAAAACCCCTTGAGATAGGGGTTTAAAATTTGTGAGACTAATTTGCAATATGATGCTAGAGGTCTAAAAATTTATACTTGGGATCTTATTTTAAAAAAAAATTAAAACATGAAAGTTGTTGTAAGTTTTCCCAGCAGCTTACAAAAAGAAGTGAAATCTCACCAAAAAAATTTTTATTTAAAATGTTGCCAAGACAAACTGTATGGCCAGCACTGTGAAAAAGTTATCAGATCTCATGTAGAGCTAAGCTTCTAACTTTACTCACCCTAACTACACCATAGCTAAATTATATGGCTTGACCTGACCACTAGGTCACCTCTGTTCAGATGTGCCCTTTTGATGTTCTATGGTTCTTTTAGCATTAGCAGGGCAGTTGTTTTGGGAAATTTTAGGGGAAGTGTATAATATCTAAAGCTTAGCGCCACCTAACGGTCGTGACCGTATGTAGGGGTGGCACGTCCCCCCCCCCACCAGAATCGTCTGGTGCCCCCCCCCCCCCAGATGGTCTGGTGCCCCCACCCCAGAATGGTCTGGTGCCCCCCCCCAGAATGGTCTGGTCCCTAAAGGATCCCTAAAGGATGTTGGGCTACCGATTTGAAGAAGATAGTTGATAGTACTAACTCATGACGTATGATACTGGCGGCGGCACATGGTGGTGTCGCCACGATGAATGATCATGACAGTGATGAAAAGACGTAGGTATTCCACTACGACGAATTTCGAATATCTTGCCGCGTGATATGTATCATCATGCCATGACTTATGATTATGAATAGAATAGTCCAACATCACTAAATTATTACCCATTGTGTAGTTATTGCTTCCTCTGCTCTGTGATCTCTATCGCCTGTTTCTATTGACATGTACCTAATCCGTATTTTTTTAGAATAGGACAGTTGCACCATAATTATGTTCCCCAACTCAGAATGCCCTTGATAATAATTTTAAAATTTTATTTTCCATCACAAGCCCTATCCACCATGATACGAGTACACACCTTGATTGATACTAAAACAAAAAGGCGTGTTATTTAGCATTAGATCAAAAGCCCGTGTTGTTGATAAAAAACTAGCATCAACATCAAACAGCGCCGTCATTGTACGCGTAATCATTGTGTAATAATTGCTTTATAGGATGCTGCAGAAACTAACCGGCCCTAGTTTGAGAGTGGCGAGGGTGTATCTAACGTCAAGCGCGTCGTTACACGTGAGGATGATGTCGACGGCCGCTGAAAAGGGATCCAACTTCTTTTTTAGGCAGGTAAGGCTTGTAATTTAGCAACGATTTAAATAAAAAATAAATAAAAAATGTAGTACCAGCCATAGTTTTATAAGCACGATTTAATTACGTCTGACTTGACGGCCGTGTGTAGAAAAAAGTTGTTAAGTGTGTTTTGAAGTCAAGGCCATGGTAAACCTAAGTACCAAATCTCCTACTAATCTAGTATATGTAAATACTTACATTTATACATAAATGATTAATTCTGTCTAGTTGCGACCTTGTCCATTGTCAAGGTGTGTACTGTGTAGTTATGGTGCTAATGGAAGAATAAATACAGTGTAATAACAGTACAGGGTAATATAATTGAGTAAATTATGTATTTTTCTCGTGTTGATGTCATTCTCTACCTGAGTAAAGGTATTTTGTTGCCATACTTTGGTAGATTCTATGACTTTATTTCATCATGCATTGCACCGTTTTCATCGCGTGTAGAAAATTGATACTGAGCGGAGACGAGTCGAAATAACGACGTTATATTTCTTGCTTAAAACACGTCTCCTTTCGTCCCGTCTCCGCTTTGTTAGAAAAATCAGGCATTTTTCTACAGTCCAAAAAGAATTAAATAATTTAGCTTCTTCTCCAGTCAATGGTTAATGGCAATGTGTATCAGCTTTTCGATACAGTCAGCAGCACCTACACTTACCTGCTGGCGGACCAGACTGCCAGAGAGGCGGTGCTCATCGACCCGGTGCTGGAACATGCAGAGAGGGACGCCACTCTTCTTCAACAGCTGGGGTTCAAGCTGCTGTTTGCCAGTAAGTTGAGTTCTTACTGTTAAATACAGTCATCAGCACTAATACTTACCTGCTGGCGGACCAAAGCGCAAAAGAGGCGGTGCTCATCGACCCGGTGCTGGAACATGCTGAGAGGGACGCCACTCTTCTTCAACAGCTGGGGTTCAAGCTGCTGTTTGCCAGTAAGTTGGATAATATTGGATACAGTCAGGAGCACTTACAGTTACCTGCTGGTGGATTAGAGTGCCAGAGAGGCGGTGCTCATCGACCCGGTGCTGGAGCATGCTGAGAGGGACGCCACTCTTCTGCAACAGCTGGGGTTCAAGCTGCTGTTTGCCAGTAAGTTGGATAATGTTCGATACAGTCAGTAGCACCTACAGTTACCTGCTGGTGGATTAGAGTGCCAGAGAGGCGGTGCTCATCGACCCGGTGCTGGAGCATGCTGAGCGGAACGCCACTCTTCTTCAACAGCTAGGGTTCAAGCTGCTGTTTGCCAGTAAGTTAGATAAAACACCTGCGCATATAGACTTCTTGAAATAATTTTAGTAAGCCATACGATGACCAGAGTAGAATAGGATCAGCCCCACTTCACTCATCCACTTCTCGTAGATGTCGTAAGAGGCGAATACCCTAACCCGTTTGGCCAAGATGAGGAGTGTCGATCTTTGGTAAATTGGAGGGATAGAAAATTATATAAAAAAACATAAAAAATAATAAAGCATAACCATTTGTTTCGCTCTCTATCTCTCTCTCTTTCCGAACTTGATAATGTAAAGAAAACTGAGCTATAATCCTCTACGTGTCTGTTCCAGTGAACACCCACATGCACGCAGACCACGTAACCGGCACGGGCAAGCTCAAGTCCCTATTACCAGGCACTAAGAGCGTGATTGGCCAGGCGTCTGGCGCTCAAGCTGATATCCACTTGGTAGACGGCGACCTGGTGAAGTTTGGAGACTATGAGCTCTTGGCAACCGCTACTCCTGGACACACTAATGGCTGCTTGACTTATATTTGTCATGATCAGGTTAGTAAGCAGCTAGAGTCCATATTACCAGGCACTAAGAGCGTGATTGGCGAGGCTTCTGGCGCTCAGGCGGATATCCACTTGGTAGACGGCGACCTGGTGAAGTTCGGCGACTATCAGCTCTTGGCAACGTAACTCCTGGACACACTAATGGATGCTTGACTTATATTTGCCATGATCATGTTAGTAGGCGTATAGAATGAAAGTGTTATTTTATTACCGAGTCCTATTACCGAGAGAATAGGACTAAAAGCGTCATTGGCATGAAGTGTGGTGATCAGGCTGATATCCCAGTTGGATATCATCAGCCTGATACAATTTGTTCTTTTGTAGTTATTTTGCATTACATTTACCTTTGAATCCTTGTTGTTGTTAAAATAATAATGTGCGAGTGTTTATGGTTATTAGTTAAGTAATGAACTAAAGTGATACAAACATAATGTTCCTAGCTATTCAGTCTTATTTATCACCTATTGAATTATTATCGGACACATAACATTATCTAATTTATACTTTCGATTGTGTTAGCTATTGATTACGTTATCATCAATGAATTCAAACGATACAGTACCACCTAGCAAGCTAACATGCATTTATTGCAATTTTATCTTATAATGCACTTGAAGATATGTATTTATGTATTGCTCTTGGAATTCGCTATCTTGTACTTGACCAGCTTATGATAACTGTTGCCTACACCTCCACGGTTAAAAAAAACAACTATGTAAAATATTAAAACTATAACTGAAGATTTGGTGAGGTTGTAGGGGGTAATCTCTAGATCTACTGAACTGATTTTGAAAATTCTTTTACCAATAGAAAGCCACATTATTTGTAAGTCGTGTCATAGTCATGGTCATAGGCTATCTGAAAAATGAACTTTCTGTGAGTAAAAAAATCACGCGGGTAAAAACTAGTTGCCTTATAATGAGATACTGTATACAGGGTGACAGGAAAAGCGATACATTCCTTGATAGGGGTTAAAGTAGAGCTTATTTGCAGTAATTTAAGTCATATGATACCATGTCCGAAACTTGTTCATTTCCAAGTTATTCAAGATTTAAGTATTTTTAAAAAAAACTCCAGTTTTTATGTTAAAATGTACCCTTGTAATGAAGAATACGGAATAATGTTGACTTTTTTGTTGTATTCGTATAGCTAAATAATAAGATTGACATTTTAAATTAAAATTTGCAAGAAAGAATCGTCATTACTCAAGTTAAAGCTAAAAAGCCATGTATCATTTTGCAAAAAAAATATGTTTTAGGTAATTAAACGAAGAATTTCCAAGAAAAAATGTATGGAATGTTGTGTACAAATTACAGAATTTAGTTCCTTGATTCATTAGCTATTCAAAAAGGTACAGGTGTTTAACAAACACTACATAATTATTTTTTTATTTGAATTTAAACGTCTAGTAAGATACTTTCATAAAAAAATTAATAAATAAAAAAGTCACACTAACAACTATTCTTGGGTCTCAATAAATGACTCCTGGACACACTAATGGCTGCTTGACTTATATTTGTCATGATCAGGTTAGTAAGCAGCTAGAGTCCATATTACCAGGCACTAAGAGCGTGATTGGCGAGGCTTCTGGCGCTCAGGCGGATATCCACTTGGTAGACGGCGACCTGGTGAAGTTCGGCGACTATCAGCTCTTGGCAACGTAACTCCTGGACACACTAATGGATGCTTGACTTATATTTGCCATGATCATGTTAGTAGGCGTATAGAATGAAAGTGTTATTTTATTACCGAGTCCTATTACCGAGAGAATAGGACTAAAAGCGTCATTGGCATGAAGTGTGGTGATCAGGCTGATATCCCAGTTGGATATCATCAGCCTGATACAATTTGTTCTTTTGTAGTTATTTTGCATTACATTTACCTTTGAATCCTTGTTGTTGTTAAAATAATAATGTGCGAGTGTTTATGGTTATTAGTTAAGTAATGAACTAAAGTGATACAAACATAATGTTCCTAGCTATTCAGTCTTATTTATCACCTATTGAATTATTATCGGACACATAACATTATCTAATTTATACTTTCGATTGTGTTAGCTATTGATTACGTTATCATCAATGAATTCAAACGATACAGTACCACCTAGCAAGCTAACATGCATTTATTGCAATTTTATCTTATAATGCACTTGAAGATATGTATTTATGTATTGCTCTTGGAATTCGCTATCTTGTACTTGACCAGCTTATGATAACTGTTGCCTACACCTCCACGGTTAAAAAAAACAACTATGTAAAATATTAAAACTATAACTGAAGATTTGGTGAGGTTGTAGGGGGTAATCTCTAGATCTACTGAACTGATTTTGAAAATTCTTTTACCAATAGAAAGCCACATTATTTGTAAGTCGTGTCATAGTCATGGTCATAGGCTATCTGAAAAATGAACTTTCTGTGAGTAAAAAAATCACGCGGGTAAAAACTAGTTGCCTTATAATGAGATACTGTATACAGGGTGACAGGAAAAGCGATACATTCCTTGATAGGGGTTAAAGTAGAGCTTATTTGCAGTAATTTAAGTCATATGATACCATGTCCGAAACTTGTTCATTTCCAAGTTATTCAAGATTTAAGTATTTTTAAAAAAAACTCCAGTTTTTATGTTAAAATGTACCCTTGTAATGAAGAATACGGAATAATGTTGACTTTTTTGTTGTATTCGTATAGCTAAATAATAAGATTGACATTTTAAATTAAAATTTGCAAGAAAGAATCGTCATTACTCAAGTTAAAGCTAAAAAGCCATGTATCATTTTGCAAAAAAAATATGTTTTAGGTAATTAAACGAAGAATTTCCAAGAAAAAATGTATGGAATGTTGTGTACAAATTACAGAATTTAGTTCCTTGATTCATTAGCTATTCAAAAAGGTACAGGTGTTTAACAAACACTACATAATTATTTTTTTATTTGAATTTAAACGTCTAGTAAGATACTTTCATAAAAAAATTAATAAATAAAAAAGTCACACTAACAACTATTCTTGGGTCTCAATAAATGAAAAACTTAGTATTTTAATCATAATTGTATCACCTAATTTTATCTAGGTACATTATTTTAAGTCCTGCTCAAACTGTGAGCCCCGTCTTCTAATACAAGCTCGTAGTCTGTTTCTCACTTCTGTTTTTGTGACTCTTGTTGTCAAACTGCTGAATACCTTGAGCTGCCCTCTGAATGCGCTCACGAAGCTTTCACACACAGCACACTTTCGGCTCAGTGTACGCCAATGGATGGATCAACAATATCCACTTCGTTGGATTGGACGCGGTGGACCCATTCCTTGGCCAGCCAGAAGTCCGGATCTGACCCCTTGCGATTTTTATTTATGGGGTCACATATGAAGTATCTCTTGTATGTAACCCCCGTAAACAACAAGCAAGAGCTTCGTGAGCCCATTCAGAGGGCAGCTCAAGGTATTCAGCAGTTTGACAACAAGAGTCACAAAAACAGAAGTGAGAAACAGACTACGAGCTTGTATTAGAAGACGGGGCTCACAGTTTGAGCAGGACTTAAAATAATGTACCTAGATAAAATTAGGTGATACAATTATTATTAAAATACTAAGTTTTTCATTTATTGAGACCCAAGAATAGTTGTTAGTGTGACTTTTTTATTTATTAATTTTTTTATGAAAGTATCTTACTAGACGTTTAAATTCAAATAAAAAAATAATTATGTAGTGTTTGTTAAACACCTGTACCTTTTTGAATAGCTAATGAATCAAGGAACTAAATTCTGTAATTTGTACACAACATTCCATACATTTTTTCTTGGAAATTCTTCGTTTAATTACCTAAAACATATTTTTTTTGCAAAATGATACATGGCTTTTTAGCTTTAACTTGAGTAATGACGATTCTTTCTTGCAAATTTTAATTTAAAATGTCAATCTTATTATTTAGCTATACGAATACAACAAAAAAGTTAACATTATTCCGTATTCTTCATTACAAGGGTACATTGTAACATAAAAACTGGAGATTTTTTAAAAAATACTTAAATCTTGAATAACTTGGAAATGAACAAGTTTCGGACATGGTGTCATATGATTTAAATGACTGCAAATAAGCTCTACTTTAACCCCTATCAAGGAATTTATCGCATTACCTGTCACCCTGTATACAACTGGTTTTTACATTTAAGCGCCATTTCATAAATTAATTATGTCATGATATTTCATTTCCAATTTCCAGGGCATAGCGTTCACAGGCGACACGCTCCTAATCAGAGGCTGTGGGCGGACAGATTTCCAGGAGGGCTCCTCTGAAGGCCTGTACAACTCTGTCCACCAGAAGATATTCACCCTGCCCGACCATTACACCCTGTATCCTGCCCACGATTACAGGGGACAGACGGCCACCACGGTGGGAGAGGAGAAGAAATACAATCCGAGGTTGACAAAGTCGTTGGAGGAGTTCATAAACATCATGGACACTTTGAATCTGCCGTACCCGAAGATGATTGGTGAGTTTATTTCTTACAACAAGGTCGAGGTAACTGCGCATCTCGCTGGAATGCGACTCTTCCTTGCACTCATCCGCGCATCTCCCCGCGTTCGTCCCGTCCGTACCAGAGCGTCGATGTGACGTCACAACCCCTAGGTGCGCAGTTAACTCTACCGCGTTGTATGTCGGGATTTAAACAGCTGTTAGCCCAGGACCATAGACAAAGTTATAAACATGTTTTAATTTCAAAATCTCTTTAATTATAAATAATAACTTTATTGACTTAAAAACAAGTACAGTATAAAATTGCGAAACCCCTGACTCCTGTGCTAGGTGTATGTACCTGTGTTACAATTTCGAGATAAGTAACAATAAAAAACCGTTATTGAACAATTTTATTGTAGGAATTATCTTTTTCTTAACCTTGATAAAGATTGCTTATCAAATAGTTTAGAATACCTACCAATTTTAGTTTAGGAATATTTATCAATATTTATGTTTGTTACAGATAAGGCAATCCCCGCGAACAAAGTATGTGGGCTGTATGAAGTAAAAAATGACTAATTAGAATTATTATGTACATATAATTATCTAGAAATGAACAACTTATAATTTTAATTACATATGTGATTAAGATGTAGATCATTTTAATGGTACATTGATAGATGCATCTGTGATAAACAATATGTTATGTAAATAGATGTTGCAGTATCATGTATATTTTGTAAATAATCAATTTAAATAATTTTAGTAATGATTTTATGTATTTTTGTAAGGGCAGAAGTGTGAAGAGACGTTTAGATTAAAACTATAGGACTGTGACTGACAGTCACGTATTGTTTCAAAATATCATAAATTATTAAAAATACGTTCGTCTTTGAAATCCTACACATTTATGTTATTCAGGTGTATAAGCTGTAGCTTGAAAGAGTAATAGACGCAATGAGGGTTTTCGCGAATGAAAAATCCGCCAGATGGCAATACGTAGACGCGAGGTCCAAATGCTGCATGATTGGTTATTTTTGACATGACATTGACAGATATGTCAAAAACCACCAATCACGCAGCAGTCAGACCCCACATCCACGTCCCGCCATTTAGCGGATCTTTCATTCGCGAAAACCCTCATTGTATAGCCTGACCAGGAACATAAAAACCCTCGCCATGTTGCGGAAATCTAATGGTACTATNAATAGTGTCAAACTGTCAATATCTTTTTAGCTTTTAACGCAAATCTAGTCTTCAAAGCAGTTTAATCGATTTATTTTATTTTCAAAATCGATATTTTATTGTCTATGATGGCCGCAGGAACATCACTATACATGGACTCCCAGCAATAAAGTACGGTAATGCCTCGTACAGATTTTATCGGCAAAAATTATGGAACTTGATAGGTTTTAGACCATGCCACGCACCAAAACGTCCGGAAGTTGTAATAGTATTATAGAATAAACGTTAAAAGACTTATTTATTTAATTTTTCAATGCTTAAGTGTCCATTAGAATGAAAGGGTGCTTAATGTATTAAAAAAAATAGAAAATAATTATGATGGGTTAATGTTTTTGGGCGGTTTTTTAGGCGGTTTCTGACAATGTCCTTTCATCAAAATCAATTCAGTGATTTAATTTTAGGCGTGAAAGCAAGACAGACAGACAGACAGAGTTACTTTCGCATTTATAATATTAGTATAGATAGGTAGTTATTATGTAACATAATTTAGCGATGCGAACTAAATAAATTGGCCAGGGTTATGTGGGCCGTATCAGAGCGTCGGTGGTCATGGCAACCTGAGGGTGCGTTAAAAATATCCCATCTGGAGCCTGGGTCGAGGACACTGGAAACTTTTCGCCATTATACGTACCTATAATGAAGGTCGACTCATATCTCATAGTCATCCCAATCATTATCGTTGGGAGAAAAAAGAAAGATAATTTCAGCTCTTGATCAAGTTAACAAGTTTGCAGTTAGAACACTGATCTTTTAAATGGTTTAGAGTTAGACTAAACACGAAGATTATTAAAGATCCTTTGTACAGAGGATATCTATTCGCTATTATGGCTTACCGATTATTTCAAACAAAGATCCGATGAATAAGTACATTCAAAAGTTGATGATTTATTGTTGCAGTAACGAGTAGCAACCTTCTAGTTTAGTATTTTTCAAGTTATCAAGAAACCTCCAGTAACCAGTATGTAATTTAACATACTTAGGTGCTATAAAATTCAAGATAATAATATTACCTAGATAATATTTTCAGTCTTTACAGTGTATGAAGTCAATATGACGCAGCGACAAAATCTTTGAAGTGAAGTCGAAATATGGCGTGGGAGGGCCTAATATGTGAACCAGCACCCCGATTACGGTAACTTTTAACGTCTACAATCCAGACGCGTTTCTGATTCTGCAATACGATTGGTCAAAACAGCTGACGTACGCTGTTGAACGACCAATCGTATCGCAGAATCGAGAAGCGTGTCTGGATTGTTGACGTTATAAGTTACCGTAATCGGGGCTCAGATTACGCTCGCTAATTGCCCAGGGTCTCGCTCGGAATAACATCGAATATTTATTCAGAGCACTAGCGTAATAGAAATCACCCAAATAACTGGGCTGCTCTCTTGAAGTCTAGGATTAATTGATAATGCCGTGCCAAAATAACGTCCGATCTATTAATCGGAATGGTATTGTCTCATTTAACTCAAGACGGTAAAACAATTAAGTCTGACTCTACAATTTACGATCAAAAGCTGTGCTATTATAAAATAAATTATAATCTTTGTGTACTGGTTATAATTGCGTACTAAAGGTTCTCTCCTGACTTGAAGATTTACTGATGGGGACCGGTTTTCGTTGCAAAAATAAATATATTTTTAAAGTCATTGCATTAATTATGAATTAATTAACGCTTTCCTTTAGGTTTAGGTCACATTAGCAAAATTTATAGCAAAATATTTTGGTTGGCAGCCTCCGAGAAAAACATGAAGTTTCTAACAACTTCATGTTTTTCTCACACACAGCCTTTGACTGTACCTAAATGTAATTTTTTTCTTAATCGAGTCACTAATATTTTCCGGAGATGTCCAATGTCCATGGGCAATAACAGAAATCAAGAGTAGAAACTGCGGTGTTCAAATAAGTTAGGTACTGTTAATGAACGACACGTGAAAACGCCTGTATACCTACCTAAACTCCCTACACGTCCAATGCACTTATGTAATCTGTCCAAGTTTGAGCCAGCCCAGTAAATCAGGGATTAATAAAACCCACGTCAATGCATCCCACTGAGCGTCCCGCTGCGTTTGGCGCGTTGCGACGCGACGCCTGCGGCAGTAGTGATGGGACACAAGTAAAAGTAAAACGTTCTGTAGGTATTCTTTTCGCTATTAACAACACTATTGAAGTACGATGTTAGTATAAAAGTCTTATTTACAAGTAATATTTATTTATATTTTCAGTGCTATGTAGAACATATTACATCCTATCCTGTAGCGGTAGACTACATTTAATATTTTTTAAGAAGTAACGAAGTTACGTTAATCATAATTATCTCTGTATTTGCTTAATGATATCGATTGACACAGTTAAACTATGTAACCACAATCATTAGGACAGTGTATTCATATAGGTACTCGGACACGTCTCTAGCTCTAGGTACGTCTCATACAATGGATCACAGTTCCATCTACCCATTTCCGGTCATGTCGTCTCGTTCTATTGCAAAGAATTACCGATTGATGAGAGCGAAAGAAAAAAGAATGAGAATATTTATTTTCAGTAAAACGTATAAAGACTTTTTACTACGGAAATGGGTAGCTGGAACTGTGACCCACTGTACGAATAACAGCTCAAGTAGGTACTCAAGTCCGCTAGCCTCAGCGCATCACTAGTAGTACGCCGCCGCGGTCGCCTTTGCATGCGGACTACCCCTAAAAATCTTTACCAGAATTGGCTCACGAGTCATGGCCACAGAATGCGGACATGTCGTTTGTTTTACAATTCGGGATGAAGGAGGCGACCTATTTCCCGGTTTAGCCTAAATATCTTTTCTAGGTCTGGAAATGCGGTGTATTGTAACGTTACGGCACTCAAGAGAGTAGGTATTATTTTTCGTGGAATTTCTTAGTCGTATTTCTCATTACCTACTTAGCAATGTGATGATTGAGTGTGAAATTCACGGAATTTCCAATGTAGAAAGGTTTGCTGGAAAGCCTTCTCCATTACACGAAAGAAGTCGCAGAATATTACATTAGAACGAATTGAATTTTGTCTTAGTTAGATAAATAAAATCTACGTAAGTAAACTATCAGAGCAATTAAGATCTGATTTATTAGTTGGCACTTTTACTTCAGGGTTTATCAGAAACCCTGCCAACTAAAAACAAGCTAAGTATTAAGTGAATCTAAGTTGTAACTAAGCCAAAGTTAATCTAGCCGGTGGGGTAGGCACATTCGGTAGTTTAGATCCGATTGAATGCCCTCGGAATTCCCGGGAATTGATTAAGTTTCAGCAAAGCGAGTTCCCGTTGAGGAATTTAGTACAGTTTAAAGACTAACATATTTGAGGTTTCAATCGACTGTGTACTAATGAATAGGTTGCGTTGTTGTGTATACCTCATGAGTTTGTTAACAGTTTAAAAGTGTTATAATTAACAGTATAAGAATCACAGGGTGTTCTATCTCAAATTCTTTTTGTTTTTGAATTAAACTTAAGAATAAACTCAGAATTCATGACTTAGAATAAATTAAGGCCTTAGAATAAGGTAGGGCCCACAAGATAAGGAGACATGTAAAGTGCCCCATAAGGGGTACCTTTTCTTTTTTATTATTTAGGTACTATATTTTGACGTTCATAAGTGCCACTTGTGGTCTAAACTGAATAAATATTTTTGATTTTGATTTTAAGTTATTTTCTCCAAGCTCAATTTTGATTCTGTGCAGGTTTTAGTTATTTCACACGTTTACAAAACCTTTCAAGGTGACTCTTGCGGAGGCGGAGAACATGCCGAAGCCTTCAGCCTGAAGGCAAATAAAATGGTTTTTATTTAAATTGTATTCCCGTGGACGACAGCTCAGATCCAGGTTTTTTTTTACGCGAACGGGAGTCGAAGTCACGTTCCTGGCACCGCGATAAAGCGGTCATCACACTTAGCTTCAAATTACAGAATTATCTAGCTCTTTTGTACACATACACCTGAATTTAGCTTCATTTGCAGAATGTTTGGAAAGCCTATGGTGTCATTTTGCTTTTACTCCATTCTCATAAGTTATGAAAGCGAAAGTATTCATCATCATCATCATCAACAGCCCTTTACAGTCCACTGCTGGACTATGAGCCTCCTCCACTATAGTGGAGGGTTTTGCCATAATCCCCACGCTTGGCAGGCGGGTTGGAGATCGCAGTTTAAAAGATTGATGTTTTTCAGAGAGCGCTGCTGCCCGTTCTCTGTTTGATGTGTGGACCCTAAGTCGCCTCTTACGACACCCGCGGGAAGAGTAGGGGTTGGTGACAAATGTATTCTACTCTGCCGTCACCACACGGCACGGCACGGCACGAAAGTATTGGTAAGTATAAATTACCTTCGTTCGTTTCAGCCAAATGACATCCACTGCTGGACAAAGAGGCATCCCCCAAGATGACCGGTTAGACCGCCGCCCGCATCTAGGCACCTCCCTCGACCCTCACCAGATCGTTGGTCCACCTAGTGGGGGGCCTGCCCAAGTGCCCACACTACGTCTTCCAGCCCATTTTAGTATTCCCTTACCTAGTTTTAAGAATAAATATATTCTGTTAATTCAATACCTTTTGTCATCGCTAAGGTGGTCTGAAGTGTACATTTTGTCCGTTCTTCAAAACGGACAATGGGCCAAAGGTTTGTCAAGTGAGATAAGATTCACCCACATGTTTACTCAGAATCTTATGGTAAAATTATTTGGGGAAAATCTTGAGAAAACCT